CCTCCACCGGCACCCCTCGCGCCCAGGCCCGCCTCCCGCACCCCGGCGGCCCGGCCCCAGCCGCGGGCCGGCAGCTGAAGCGCGATCCGGAGAGGCCTGACAGCACCAAGGCTTTTGGGCGAGAAGGCTCCGCCGCTCAGGGCGAGGCGGAGGTGCGACACCCGCCTGTGGGCATCGCGGTAGCCGTGGCCCGGCAGAAGGACAGTGGCGGAAGTGGCCGGCTGGGGCCAGGGCTGGCCGACCAGGAGCGCTCCCTGTCCCTGAGCAACGTCAAAGGTGGGTCCTGGATCCTCCCCCCTCCCACTTTGCCTCCCATTTCTGTCTGTCTTCTGGCCTCCTTGCACCCCTGTCCTCCCCGCCTCCCTGGCACCATCTGTCCTTCATGTCACTCAGGGCTGTGGCTGCTCTTGAAGGGTTATTGCTTTTTCCATTGTGCATGTAGAAAAACACGTAACGTGGAGAAGAAGAGAAAAGGACCATTATATTTTCCAACACCCTGAACACTTTCAGATCTTCCCCGGGCTTCATCTTCCTGTGCGATTTCCTCCTTCCTGCAGAGGTCCTAGCATGTGTCGGATCTCGGGCGGTTGCATTTTCACACGTTACAGTGTGGGTTGTCCTTTATAGGTGTCGTTTTTTATTGGCCTTGAATATTTATTTCATCACGAGCACTCACTGGAGTCCAGCTAGCCCTTCCCTTCGCGGGCATTTTGGTTTTCTCTGATGTTTTATGTGTTAAGAATGTTGCGTTGAACATTTTCGTGTGCATTGTGTCTTCATATTTTGAGTCATATTCTAAGGATAGATTCCTGGGACTAGACCAGCTTCAAGCTTTCAATTCTGAGAGTTCTTTGAGGTCGTTAGCTAGGCCTTACGTAGTTCAGGGTCCCCAGTACCTGACATGGGCCTGGTGCACAGTAGGTGTTTGGTGAATGACTGTGTGACAGATGGAAATTAAAGTCTCGGTGTTATGGGTTTTGATTCACCACCTTGCTGACTTCTTAGGTAGGTAGAGGTTTTCTACGCCCGTCAGCAGCGTACAAGTCTCTTATTTTAGATTCCTCATAATAGTGTTTTAATATCATTTTTTTAAAAAACTGTTAAATTTGGTAGATAAGAATGGTGTATTTCTTTTAATAACTAGCAAAGTTGATTGTTTTTCCAGAACTGGGTGGATTGTTTGCATTTTTTTGCCTCTTACTTATCTCACTGTTGGAATCCTCCCTGGGATTTTGGGGAGTTGCTGTTTGTGGCAGTTTTGTTGGGACCCTGGATTTGGTCTGCCTGGAAAAGAGCCCGTTGCTGAGCCAAGGGCCTGCCTGCAGGTCGGGCGCTAGATGGCGCCCCCCACCCTTACCGGGCGGTGTTCTGTGTGCTGTGGGTGGGTTTGGCCGGGTGGGTTTGGCAGGCCGGGGTGAGGCCCTGAAGGTCCTTGCTCGTGTGACTTCTCAACAGCCGGCCTGGGTTTCTTCCCTGCGCCTCTGTCCCCAGCCCCGGCTCGCCCCCTGTCCTCACCAGCTGCAAGCTTGGGCTTGGCCCACAACGGTGGCCTCTGTGCCGCTGCCACTTTCCAGACTTTGCTCCCACAGGCTGCTTAGGAGTCTTGGACCCACAACTCCTGGGTCCCCATCCCCCTGTGGCCTGGCCCCCCCATGCCACCTTTTCTGACTTCATCTTTGGTCCACAATGAGCAGCCACTGCTGTGTCCTGTCACAGCTGCCTCCTAGACCTGCAGTCTCAGTCCCGCTCCCCAGGACGAGCTGGGGAAGGGCCTAGCCACCCTGGGCCTCACAGCCCCCTGCACTCACGCTGAGGACCAACGTCCGGGGCGAGTGATGCTTAGGGAGTGTTTGTCGAATGACTACTGATCGAGCCCATTGTTCATGTGGAGCCCCTCCTCCCAGCCGGGGAAGCCCACCCTCTGACCCTGGGGGACTGGCACCAGGGCCTGCCTTAGTCTGGGATTGGAGGAGTGGGCACTAGCCCATGGCTGGAGATGGCTGGCTTGGTGGGTCAGAGGTTGGGGCCGCGGACCCCCTCTGGGAAGCAAAAGATCTCTTAGGGTCCCTTCCTTTAAAGAATGCTCAGGTGACACAACGTGGCATCCCTGTTGGGGGCCACGGTCCCCAGAGCTCATGCTGGAGCCCAGAGTGCCTGTCCGTGCCTAAGGGACCTGTAGCCATGATGAAAGTGCGTGCGTGCGTGTGTGTAAGAGAATGTGTGTACGAATGCGTGACAGGGAGTGTGTGTGTGTGGAGAGGGAGGGAGGATGTGACAGGTTTGGGATGAGGCTTTCAGGGATTAGTCTAAAGCTGCCTTTCTCTGTGGCAGCTGATGGTTGGAAAGTAGGTAGCTGGATTCTTCCTCTCCTTAAAACTGAATTCTCGGACGAGGTGGTGGTTTCTCCCCAGTCTGGATGCCTTCGAGGGAGGCGAGGAGTTGGGGGTACCCAGCCTGCTATGGGGGTCATCAATCCTGAGTCTCCTAGTCTCTTTCTGTGTCTCCCTTTCCTGCTTTGCAGAGCAAGCCCTCTGCCTCTTGAAGCTATGTGACCTTGACCAAGAGGCGTAAGTCCTGGGGGCCCCAGTTTCACATGGCGGTAGTAGCGCCCTTGATGCCAGGTGGGCTGACAGGCACATAGTAGGCACTTCATCAGCAGGCGTGCTTTTTGTTCACTCACAGTCAGGGTGTTAAAGGCTCAGATAGATTTTAAAGGCTGTGACAGTGCCCGTGAGCCCAGGTGCTGCTGGGGAGAGACCCCCGAGCCCTTGGGGTCTGGTCTGGCTTCGGGCAGTTCTTGGACCCTGAGGTGGACTGAGGACAGGTGTTGTCTACACCTGTGCACCCCAAACAACAGCACCCTGTGCCCAGCAGACAGGCACAAACAGCCTCGGGGGAACGCTGTCGTCGCCCCTCAGAAAATGCTCTGCCTTCACGTAGAATGGTCACCGTCTCTCGGCAGCCTGGGAGGGAGCAGCTGTCACTCTCACGGCCCCGCAGACCAGGAGTGTGGGAACCACAGCGATGTCAGAGGCGGGGGGCACCCCAGCTGCGTCTCCCCTAAACTGGGTGGCAGTGCCCTCCCTTTGCTTCCTCGCCTGCCTGCCTCCCGTGTGCTGGGAACAGTGTGGTGACCTCGCACTGGCGTAGATGGAGCGTCCGCTCAGCGCCTTTGCTGACCGAGGTCTGCACGCGGCGACTTGGCAGGTGGCCAGTGACGCCGCTCTGCGTCCTCCGGGGGCAGGTGAGGAAGATGGAGGTCGCCTCCCTCGCCTGTCCTCACGCCTGCCCCAGCTCGCTGGCTTTCCTCTGCTGTGACTCGCACTGTGCTTCCCTGTCGTCTTGGGCCGAGAACTCCCCAGAACACTCAGGCCAGCCTCCAAGCCCTCCCAGGTGTCCAGTCGTCTCTAGGGACACGCTCCTCCCCGACGCTAGGCTGCCTAGCTGTCCCCTTGCGTGCTTGGTCCACTGGGCGCATCGCTGCACCTCGCCTAGAGCCTCTTTGTTCTGGGACTGGCGGGTTCCTACCTTCCTGAAGCCTGTCCTGGGGGCTCTGTTCTTTGGGGGTGCAGGAAGGGAGAAACGAGGGACGCCCGATGATAGCACTGTGAATGGAATCCTTGCCTACGAGGGGCACGGATGTGGGGTGTCTGGTGGCCCGGGAGCTTTGTCTCCAGCAGGGCAGCGCTGTTGGGGCTGGGGGCTGGGGGCTGGGGCGGCCTCTCAGTGCACCTCCCGAGATGGCTGGGTCTTGGGGACCAAGGCTGCTCAAGGTTTGCAGGGTCCTCATGGCAGGTGGCTGTGCCCTGTTGGTGGGGCCCTGCCACCCACAACTCCAGGTGGGTGGGAAGACCCCAGCCTCAGCCGGTTTCTGCTTTAAGACAAGTCTCAGCTGCTCACTACGGCCTCCGCTGCCAGTGACCGCTGCCTCCCGTGCCCGGCCTGCCTGGGGCTGCCACATGTGCGCTGATTTGTGGCTTATGGTATAGAGAACGTGTGGGCTGGGGCTGGGGCAGGGGAAGGTGGTGGCCGGTGAAGAGGGACGATGGTGAGGGCCCTCCAGGGGCGCCCGTCCCCTCCCCCCCTCCCCGTGTGCCAGGCTGGACTGGGGACCTGCCTTCTCCACTGGGGCAGTGGGCAGTAGGTGCAGCTGGACCAGCTCCAGGTTGGGGGGTGCCTGCTGGGCACCAGGGCAGGGACGAGTGGGCTGGACAGCAGCTCCTACGTCTTTCACTCACCCCATGTGAAGTGTTCTCGATTTTACTTTTCTGTCTTGGTTTTAAAAAGATCAGCCACGTGTGTGTGGCAGACAGCTGCGGTGGGACCTCAGTGTGGCGGCTGAGGGCCGTGACCGGGGTCTGGCTGTGCTTCTGACTGGTGGCCATTTTTGGGGGTTGTGGTTTCCCAGCCCCCCTACCCCGACCTGTGGCCTCACACCAGATTATCACGCGATTGGTTTTCCGATGTCACTCCGACGTCCCGTCACCTGTGCGAGGTGCAGGGGGCCCTCTGGGGGTGTCGGAGGGAGGCTTCCACCACAGAAGACCCCGGGTGGGGTTGGGAGGGTGCATTGCGAGGGCAAGCCTTCTCGGGGGGGAGGAGCCACGCAGACCTGGAGGCCTCGTGGGGGGCCCTGAGTTGGGGCTCACTGCATGTTCCCCGCAGGGCACAGCCGGGCCGACGAGGACTGTGGGGACGAGCGGGCCCGGCACCGGGAGGAGCGGCTCCTGGGGGCGAGGCTGGACCGGGACCAGGAGAAGCTGCTCAGGTGAGGGCTTGGAGGAAGCGGGCACCTGGGAGTCTGGGAGCCCCCCCCTCCAGTGGGCCATTAGGATGAGTCTAGATGGCATAGCCTCTGACCATAGGGGCCATGATGCCGAACAGGAGCTGGCCTAGCCTGAGACCCTGATCCTGGGCTGGGGACCCCGCAGCCCCTCCCCTCGGGGCAGCTCCTCTGAGCCGAGCACACCCCCTTGTGCTCCGGACACCTGCGGTCCTGACAGCATCCTGGTGGTTCACAGGTCACTTGGGGCGACATCCCCAGGGCTGTTGGGCTGTTGGTGATACCTCTGTTCCCTTCCAGAGAAAGTAAGGAGCTGGCCGACCTGGCCCGCCTGCACCCCACCAGCTGTGCTGCTAACGGCCTGAACCCCAACCTCATGGTGACCGGGGGCCCAGCACTGGCTGGCTCAGGTCGCTGGTCCGCCGACCCCGCGGCTCACCTGGCCACTCACCCCTGGCTGCCCCGCTCAGGGAGCACGTCCATGTGGCTCGCCGGACACCCGTACAGTGAGTGTGGGGGATGGGGTGATGGAGGGTGGGGATAGAGCAGGCTCCACGTGGCTCTTGGGGAGCTCAGTGCTGGGGACGGGTGCCAGGAGGGACAGGCCGTGGCAGAGGAGAGCCTGCATGACACTCGGCGGCCCTGCCACGCTCTCTCCCTGACTTGTCCGAGGAGGGTGATTATTATGACACCTCCTCGTGGAGTTTTTCTGCTGAGCCTGTTTGGGGGTGATACTCGGAGGTGGGTGGCTGCGGGCTTGCTCACCCCTCGGCTTCCTGCACAGAGGCCCTAGGAGGTGTGGGGGGCTGGGGAGCCGGCAGGGTAGGAGCTGGGCCTGGAGTCTCCAGCACTGACTTTAGCCGGGGTCTTTCCTAGGCTTGGGTCCCCCCTCTCTGCACCAGGGCATGGCCCCGGCCTTCCCGCCTGGCCTTGGCGGCTCCCTGCCGTCAGCCTACCAGTTCGTCAGGGACCCGCAGTCAGGCCAGCTGGTGGTCATTCCCAGTGACCACCTGCCTCACTTTGGTAAGTGGTAGCCGTGTGGTGGGAGGCAAGGGGTTCAGTAGCCTCATCCAGTGAGACTCTCCTAAGTGCCAGGGGTCTCCTGCTAGGAGGGGGTCCACCCAGCAAGACATTTGGCAGGTAGAGGTGTTCAGAGAGAACAGACATCAGGATGCGGTGTCCACATGCGATAAAGCCACAGGGGTTCTTGGCGTGATGAGCTCCGACCCGGAAAACATTCGCAGAACCAAGGGAGGACCACTGTGTTGGGGCGCAGACCCTCGGCCTTGGTGTCCCCATCCCTTGGGAATCTCCTTTGCAGACCAGCGGGTGTTGTGTGGGAGGAGTTGGGAGACTCTGTGTTGGCACACTGCAGCTGCGAGGCCTTGGGGACATCCCGGGTGGCCGCGGACAGGGCCCGTGCTGCCCTGGGCCTGGGACGTGGCCGCCCGTGGCAGGGGGCGGGGCAGCCAGGAGCCCAGCCAAGCCCAGCTCCGCCGCGCGAGTGTCCTTTCTGTGGCCTCAGCTTTCCTGTCTGGGCAGTGGGGCGACGTGTCCGGCGGTGCACGCAGCCTCACGGTCCGCCGGTCTCGCCCGCAGCGGAGCTGATGGAGCGGGCCGCGGTGCCGCCCCTCTGGCCCGCCCTGTACCCGCCGGGCCGCAGCCCCCTGCACCACGCCCAGCAGCTCCAGCTCTTTTCCCAGCAGCACTTCCTGCGGCAGCAGGAGCTCCTGTACCTGCAGCAGCAGGCGGCCCAGGCCCTGGAGCTGCAGAGGAGCGCCCAGCTCGTGGTGAGTGGGGCGGGCGCTCGCGGGCTGCGGGGCGCCGGGGACCCCTCCTGTCGCGGCACACGAGTCAGCCAGCAGAAACTCTCAGCAGTTGTGGACGATGAGGGAAAAGAGACGAGAGCCTGGTGGCCAGTGCTGGTCCCTGAAGGAGCTCTCTGGGCAGAGGGGACAGTGTGAGCAAGGCCCAGAGGTGGACAGAGCCTGGCAGGGGTGGGCACAGGGAGCAGTGTGGAAACGGAGGCAGGCGGGGTGGCCTTGTGAATCAGGGGAGTTTGGATGGGACAGCCAGGGACTCCAGGGAGCTCATGCTGTGTCCTGTGCCTGGCCTGGCCCGACTGCCCACTCGATGGCCCTGGGCTCCCCGCTTAGGCTGGGGATGGTCTCTGCTACCCACGTTGCCTGACCCCATAAGTGGAGGCGCGAGGTGTCACCCAGCGTGGGTAGGCTCCCTAGAGTGCACCGCCCTCCTGCCTCCGTGAAGGCATTCGGGACCGCTGCCCTCAGCTTGGCCTCGTCCCTCCCATGTCCCGCAGCAGCCACGCAGGAGGAGTCAGCAGAGGTGGCTCGTGCAGCGAACAGTGCCGAAGGTTTGAACCTTCGCTGTTATAGCTGGCTGTGTGCCCTTGGGCAAGTGACTTCCCCTCTCTGTGCAGAGTGTCTTTCTCTGGGAGAGGGAGGGGCTCGTCGTGAGCCCGGCATCCGGTGGGGTGACTGTGAGGGTGGCTGGAACTCGCTGCACTTCTCCGTGTGTTTTGTGTGTGGACTGCCTGGCTCCCGCGAGCAGTGGCTGTCCTCGAGCCGGCTCCCTCCCATTTCCTCAGAAGTCACCTGAGACAGGAAGAGACAGCCCCTGCCCACCTTGACGTGGTCTTGAGACCCGGATGGGGCGAGGCAGGTAGTGAGTTCTCCGTGCAGGTTGTCATGCTGATGCCGCGAAGGTGCTGGGAGCAGGGTGGCTCCTTCAATCTCAGGACCCTCTCGCCTCTGCCCTGGCCCCCCTGCCCTGACTGTGAGGGTCCCAGCGGACCCAGGGTCAGGACTGGACGCCCCCAGCCTTGGCTGCTGGGGTTCCACGGGGAATGCTCTGCTTGTTACACGCGCACTGTGATGGAATGTCCACCTCAGGCCGGGGGGTGGGCGGCCTGTACCCCGGACCCTGCCTGAGGCCGTCTGGGCTCTGGGGTCCTGAGGGACGAGGCCGGTGCTGGGCGATGGGTCTTGCCAAGCTGACCCTGCCTGCTGGCCCCCTCCCCAGCAGGAGCGGCTGAAGGCCCAGGAGCACCGGGTGGAGATGGAGGAGAAAGTGGGCAAGCGGAGCCTGGAGGCCGCGGGCAAGGCCAGCCTGGCCGCCTCGGGCCCGGGGCTGCTGCCTCGGAAGCCCCCCAGCCTGGCCGCCGGCCCCACAGGCACCTATGGCAAGGCCATGAGCCCACCACCGTCTCCCCGGGCCTCCCCTGTGGCTGCCCTGAAGGCCAAGGTCATCCAGAAGCTAGAGGACGTGTCCAAGCCACCACCCACCTATGCCTACCCCGCCACGCCCAGCTCCCACCCCACCAGCCCGCCGCCCGCCTCCCCGCCACCCACACCTGGTATCACTCGCAAGGAGGAGGCACCCGAGAATGTCGTCGAAAAGAAGGACTTGGAGCTGGAGAAGGAAGCCCCCAGCCCCTTCCAGGCCTTGTTCTCAGGTAGGAGCAAGGCCGAGACCCTGCGGGCTGTGGGCTGCGTGCTGCTGTCGAAACCTCCCCGTCTGTTGATTCAGTCATTCCTCCATTCCTCCATTCCTCCTGTCTACCGAGCACCTAGCGTGCACTGGGCCCGCCGCCAGGCTCTGGGATGAGCACGCGAGCACACAGGACATATTCTCAGTCCCTCCTCCCTGGTGGTGTCGGGAGAAGATGGGCACAGTAGCACAACCTACTTCAGAAGGACTGAGCTTTGAGCAGAGTCAGACCTGTAGGACACTCAGTGCCATGCTTGGCACATAGTAGGTACAAACGTGTCATGGTGGTAACAGCAGTACAGGAACACACACTCTGGGCTGGGCCCCCACCCCATGCGCTGTGTGCGCACACTTGCTCTTCCCGTCCTGTGTCAGTGGGGACATGTGGCAGGTGGCCTGGATGAGCCCTGGGGCTGGCCTTCCTCCTCCCTGGTGGCTTTGAAGAGTGGGCTTGTTCATAGGGCCATTTGAGTCTGAGTTCAGACTGTGCCACTGAGAGGCTGTGTGATCTTGGGCAAGTGGCCGCCCCTCTCGGGGGGAATTTGAGGCCACGCCCACGTCGGTGCTGAATGTGAGCCTGACCCCGGGGGCGGTTCCATGCGTCTCTCCCCTTGGTCTGTGTCCCCTGGCTGTGTTCCAGTTGAGGTCTCGCCATGTACCAGCTCTGGGCTGGGCCCCAAGCGCACAGGTTCAGGCGCACCCCATCCCACGCAGGGAGAGTTCCCTGGCCTGCGGGAGCTCAGAGTGAGAAAGGGCCAGCGCAGTCCTAGTTCCTGAACAACCTGGGTGCCCCACCTCTGCTGTTACGGGGTTGGGTGGGTGCATCTCGTGGAATAGAGGGCAGAAGTAACCACAGGCTGAGTGGGAACCGTTTGGGGTCTTATTAAGGGTTTGCTTTTGGGTACTGAGCGGAGAGGGGCTCGAGAAGGCGCCAATGGTGGTGCCTGCCTTTGAGTCTGAAGACTCCAGGGACAGGATGGTGGCCGAGTTTTCTCCCTGGGGCCCCGGGGTTCCGCTGATGCTGCCTGGAAGACACCCCAGTGAGCAGAGCGGGGGCTGTGGGTGTGTCCTGGCTGGTGGGCCGCAGGGGTGTCAGACGGGGCAGGAGGAGGGGCCCTGCTGACCTTCGGTGTCCTTGGCAGATATCCCGCCCAGGTACCCGTTTCAAGCCCTGCCGCCACACTACGGGAGGCCCTACCCGTTCCTGCTGCAGCCTACGGCAGCCACCGACGCCGACGGCCTGGCTCCCGACGTGCCGCTCCCGGCGGATGGGCCTGAGCGCCTGGCGCTCTCGCCCGAAGACAAGCCCATCCGTTTGTCACCCTCCAAGATCCCAGAGCCGCTGCGGGAAGGCCCGGATGGAGAGGCCCTGGCCGAGCGAGAGGTGAAGGCGGAGGTGGAGGACATGGACGAAGGCCGCGAGGAGCTGCCCTCCCTGGAGTCACCACTGGCCCTGCGCCCTGAGGAAGCCATGGCGGCCCCCAGCCCTGGGGGCGGGCTGCTGGAGGCCCAGGCGCTGGGCGCTGGTGGACAGGGGGCCGTGGAGCCCTCCGGGTGCCCGGACTTTGCTGAGGGGGCCGAAACACGGGTCGAATCTCCAGGCCGGACAGTATCCCACACAGCCGCCCCAGACCTGGGGACGCGGCTGACCCCCGAGACACTGGTCGAGGCTAAGGAGGAGCCCGTGGAGGTGCCCGTGGACGTGCCCGTGGGCGTGGGCATGCCCGTGGCAGAGGTGGGGCCGGAGGAAGGCCTGGCCCAGGCAGCCCCAAGCGAGCCCCGGCCCACCCTGGAGTCGGCGGACTGTGACGCACCCACCGGGGAGGGAGAGCGCCTGAGTCTGGGGGCCCGGGAGGCCGCCCCTGTGCCCGGCAGTGCCTGCTTCCTGGAAGAGGAGGGCTCTGACCAGTTCCTGCCCGGCCTGGAGGACCCGCTGGCCGGCATGAACGCCCTGGCAGCAGCCGCAGAGCTGCCCCAGGCCAGGCCTCTGCCCTCCCCGGGCGCCGGCTCCCAGGCCCGGGAGAAGCTGGAGGCCGCACAGAGCCTGGTCCTGGAGCAGAGCTTCCTGCACGGCATCACCCTGCTGAGCGAGATCGCGGAGCTGGAGCTGGAGCGGAGGAGCCAGGAGGTGGGAGGTGAGCCCGGCCTCGTGGCAGCGTCTGGGGGCTGCGAGTTTTTTGAAGAGTTCCTTAGAAGATTTTTAAAAACCGCAGGACGTGGTTTATTTATAGTCACTTTTAAAATTGTAAATACACGTAACATAAAACTCAACATCTTGACTTTCCAAGTACAGGTTACGGGTGTTCGTGCTGTGTGGCCCATCTGTGGGTTTCTTAGTGGTGAAATTTCTCCTCGTTTGGTCGGTGGCGAAGTTTGTGTTAGCAGGATGCTTTGGGTGGTAAGAGACAGAAACTCTGATTTTAACTGGTTTAGAAAAAGGAGGGCTATTTAGTGGCTCACAGAACTAAAGTATAGCAGTAGTTAGGTAATTAGCTTCAGGTATGGATGGATCTAGGTGCTCAAACCAAGTCATCAGGCGTTGCTTTGCTTATGCACTCTCTTCCCCACCCCTCCCCCTTGCTCTGTTTTTCTCTCTGTTGGCCTCATTCAAGGCAGGCTGACAGTTCTCATGGTGGGGGGGTCCCCGAATGCTTATCCCAGGCCTGCTCAGCTCAGCAGATGCCCCAAAAGAGGCCACCTCTTTCCTGGTGGCTCTGGCAGAGAGGCTGCGATTCCTTCTCATTAGCTCTCTGGGGTTCATGGTTTTTGCAGAAGCAAACCCTGTGGCTCAGAAGCGGGGAGGAACCAAGCTGGTCACGCACCACCCTTGATGGGGTGTCACCTCCGGGACGTAGGGGAGCGGTGGTGGGCCTCCAAAGAGCAGAAGGGGCAGTGAAATTGGCCAGGCACAAAGTCCCTGATGCTCAACACTGGAAAACTGGGGTGCTCCAAGAGATGCACGAAGGCGCTGTGGGCCAGGCGCAGCCTTGCCACCGCCGCGCAGCCCAGGAGGCTTGGGGGCAGGGCCGAGGCGACAGACAGCTGCCCAGGAGTTAGTCAGAGCGTTGCCAGGCTTCGGTGCGCTTCCTCTGGAGCTGTTTCTATACACATTTCCAGAATTAAGACTGTTTTGTAAACAGTGTTCTGTGATCTGCCCTTTTCACTTATGCATTCTTTACTAAACGTTTTTCAGATTTTCTTAAAACGTTGTGAATGTTCTAGATTTAAAACGTTTGTGTCTTTCAAAAACGTTTTTTCTAGGGGCTACCCGGTTTTCTTCCCAACCTTCGGTGACCCAATCTTATGTTGCCAGGCCTTTTAGTTTACCTTTCTCTCTCTCTCTCTCTCTCTCTTTTTTTTCTTGCTGTTGTAAATAACGTGATGATTATTCTTGAAGACAAACCCTCTCCCACACCTCTGATTTTCCTGGGGGCATATTCCCAGGGGTAGAGTTGCTGAGTCAAAACTAGGCCACACATTTTCAAGGCTTTTTCCTGGCTGTGGTCCCATGGCCCCCCAGGAAGCTTGGATAAGTGAGGCCCTCTCTCCCGCGCGAGGCTGTCCTGTTGTTGTTGTTCTAAAGTTCATTGTTTCCTCTCTTCCGTTTAAATAGTTTGGTATAAAAAAATGTATCTTTTCCAGGGGAAAATGAAAACCCTCTTTTTTTTTAAGTGAGGCAACCCTTGGTTGATCTCACAGATTGCAAGGACCCTTGTCAGCTTACCATCTCTTATTTTTTTATTTTTTATTTTTTACGCCTACAACACCTGATCTTTCTAGGGGGTCTCCCATCCAAGTACTAACCAGGCCCGACCCTGCTTAGCTTCCGAGATCAGACGAGATCGGGCTCGTTCAGGGTGGCATGGCCGTAGACATGAAACTCCTCTTGATCCTATCAACTGTTGGTGGGTTTTCAGAGGGGACTGCAGAGGGCTGGGGGCATCAGGAAAGAGGGGGCTGAGCATGGGTCCCCCAGTTTGGGGGTTGCTGCCCACCCTTGCCCTTTTTGGCACTCCTGCCTCATTTTCTGTTTGGGGGTCCTACATATCTTCATTCAGCACATACTTATTAAGTGCTGCTGTGTCCCTGGCACTGTCTTGCTGCTGGGGCCCAGCCGTAAACGGGCTGTCCTCGTGTGGCCCTCAGTGCAGCCCTCAGGACTGTCAGGTGGTGACAGGTGGGTGGAAATGCCGGGAAGGGTGGTCTCAGGAAGGCCACGGAAGCCTCTCTTGATAAGGGGGCCCGAGGAAGGCATGGGAACACTCCAGGCCACAGAAACAGCAAGTGCAAAGTCCCCGAGGTGGCAGTGTGTGACACATGGGAGCAAGAGCCAGGAGGCGGGTGCTGGAGCGGAGTGGAGCGGGGGTGTGTGCTGAGGAGGGTGGGGGACACGGCGGGCACGATTCCGGGGTCTTTTACTCTGCGTGAAGTGGAGAGCCGTTGGAAGGTGGTTTTGAGCTCGGGCAACAGGACCTGACTTGAGTAGGGGGTTGGGGGGTGTGTGTGGAGAACCGATGCAGGAAGAGCTAGGGGTGGCGCCCGCCTCTGTCCAGGCCGGGTGGCGGGGGGGGTTGTGTGTGTGCAGCAGGTGGGCTCCGGGGGAAGTTGGAGCAGCAGGCTTTGCTGGCAGACTACAGACTGCTGTGCCTGGGGAGGGCAGGGCAGGGCAGGGCAGGAGCGCTTCCCAGGGCTCGGCCTGAGCCCCTGAAAGGCAGGCTGGCCAGACCCGAGTGGGGAAGTGCTGGGGGGGTGGGTCTGGGGGGAAGATCTGCAGCCGGTTTGCACACCGAGGTGGAGGTGCCCCTTCCCACTCTGCAGTGGGGGTGTGGCCCAGGCTGGATCTAGGGCTCTGGGGCTGGAAGGCACCCTGGAGGCAGGGTTGAGGGGTGCAGGGGTTCTGGTGACCCTTTCTTTCCTGCAGTGGCTGGTGGAATGCTGACACACCACTTCCTGGAGCCACCAGCCTGCCCACATCACCCCCCGCCCGCCCCCATGCGGCTACCCACACCCACATGGTGGCCTGCCCGCCGGCCATCCTCACTCCTTACATGCCTTTAGCATCTGACTGACGCCCGGTCCTGTGGGGGTTCCGGTGCAGATCTGACCTCTGATCCCGAGTCACCTCTGCCTTGGTAAAGCCGCAAGGCTCATGTATTAGTCACCTAGGGTGGCTGTGACAAATACCACAGACTGGGAGCCTTAAGTAACACATGTTTTCTCGCAGTTCTGGGGGCCGGAAGTCTGTGATCAAGGTGTGGCAGGGCTGGTTCCTTCTCCTCGGTGTGTAGGTACATGGCCATTTTCTCCGTGTCTTCCCGGTTGTCCCTCTGTGTGTCTGTGTCCTAACCGCTGGTAAGGATGAAGGTATATTAGGCTATCCCGATGACTTTAACTCGATTACCTCTGACGAGACTAGCTCCAAATTAGGTCACGTGCTGAGGTACTGGGAATTGGACTTCAGTGCGTGGATTTGGGGGTACACTATTTAACCCACAGCAGCTGGAACTAGAGTGGTTCTGGCTGCCCTGAGCTGTCGTCCTGAGCCCCAGCATGCCTGGTGTGTTGGAGGGTGAAGGAGGTGACAAAGCCACACCTCGGTCCCCTTCTCTGTACCAGAACAGCTTTATCCAACAACTAAGACTCTTAGGGGGACCTCGAAGGGGCAGGCAGTGCCTCGGGGCAGGCCACACGCTGCAATCTGATAGCACCTGTGGGAACCATGGGGTTCACCGCTTTGTGGCTCCATTTCTATCAGGACAGAAATGCAAAGCTAGTGATTCTCAGCTGGTGGTGACACTTACGTGTCACAGCCCATGGGGGGTAGTACTGACACCTAGTGGGTAAAGATGAGGCTGCGGCTAAATGTCCCACAGCACCGCCCAGGGACAGCTCTCCTCTCATGACGGGGTGCCAGCTGCTGGGGACAGGCCCCCCACCGCCCACGACGGGGAGCCAGCCGCAGAGACTAGCGCCAAGGTCGAGGAGCCCTGATCCACGTGACAGTTGTTAATGTCGATTTCATGGAACTTCGAAAAAAAAAAAATTAAGACGCCTGGTAATTTGGTGGAAGGGCATTGGACTGTTTTTCAGATGAGCGCACACACCTCGATCGTGTTACTTATCACACGGGTAGGGATTTTTCTAACATGCGTGTCCTCGCTGTGTGAGTGTCCACTCTAAACACCAGCACATGGCAGACACGACCTAAATGCCATCAGTGGAGGATTATTTAGATAAATTTAGATAAAGCTCGTCAATACAAGAGACTTGAGCTGTTATTACTAAGTCTGGCCATAAAAAATTGCTGATATTCTGGTATTTTTGACCTATAGAAGTGGCGATTTTTGTATGGTTCGAGCTAATCATATGAATGTAGTAGATGTTTGTTAAGTGGAAAAAAGCAAAGCGTGACATGGTCTGTACTGACCAGTGGCACTTTTGTGTTTGTAAAGGATGCCCACGCATGTTATGTATGTTTGCATACGCACAAACGTTTCCAGAACTATCCCAGAGACCAGCAGCAGCAGCGTTTCCAGGGAGGGGCTTGGTCCCTGTTTTTTATCGTGTGCGCATGTTACTTTTACCGTTTACAAAACTTAACCTTGGCCTCTTCTTTTTGGTGATGAAAACCATGCATATTCCTCAAGGGAAATTTTAAGGACAGGTAGAGAGCCACCCTGCTCCAAAGAACCAGTGCTGGCCTTTGGCGACCGCACGGCCTTCTGTGCACCAGCAAACGTTCTGAGGAGCAGGAGCGGGCTGTGGACCTGCACGCTCCTTACTCAGCACCACTTCCTGCATCTTGTCACTGGCCTGCCGTCCAGTCAGCATCCTGGGGACGGGCCGTGTGGCCTTGGGCAAGCCCTGAGCTCACTCTGGGCTTCCTTGTCCCTGTTTGAGGTCCGAGGGGGCTTGGCTGCGACGCCGGTCAGTCCTGCCGCCTGCGGAGCACGGCTCACCTGCCTCCTGTCCTCAGGTGTGGAGCGTCTGGCAGTGCGGCCCTCGCTGGAGAGCCTGCTGGCGGCCAGCAGCCACATGCTGAAGGAGGTGCTGGACAGCCCCTTCGTGGACCCGCTCAAGAACCTGCGGCTTCCGCGCGAGCTGAACCCCAACAAGAAGTACAGCTGGATGCAGAAGAAGGAGGAGCGGGTGAGGTCTTCTGGGCCGTGTTTCTTGCCTGTGGCCTGGGGAGTGGGGGCGGAGACGGGTCCCCCAGAGATTTCACCTCGCCTGGGGGCGTGGCTGGCGTTGGAGCTGGAGGGGCCTGATCCGAGTCCAGTCTCCACCACTGACTTGCTTTTCGATCCCAGCAAGTCGTTTCCCCTTTCGAGGCCTCAGTTTACCCGTCTGATCACGTGTCTGGAGCGCATTCCATCGGTGGTGGCCTGATGGGCTGGGAAGAGCACACCCGGCTGCGCCCTTTGCTGCCCGTGGGTCTTGGGCGCGTGGCTTCACTTCTGTGAGCCTTCCCCTGTGACAGATGATACAGTAGCCAGCACTGCGTGAGCAGTCGTTACGGGTCCGTCTGGCCTTGATGCAGCCCAGCAGAGTTGGTTTTTCGGTCGCTGTTGTGCAGATGGAGTGTCTGTGTTTTGCCCAAGGCCACAGCTCGTAGGTGGCAGAGAGGGATGCGAACTGGGCCCGGGGTCTTCGCCGTGAAGCCTCGCCACGCCTGTCCACACGGGTGCCCGACGAGGCTGGGGGAGCTGGTGGGCGCCGGCGTCCTCACTCCCCGTCTCCTCCCAGATGTACGCCATGAAGTCCTCCTTGGAGAACATGGACGCCGTGGAGCTGGACTTCCGGATGCGGCTGGCAGAGGTCCAGCGGCAGTACAAGGAGAAGCAGCGGGAGCTGCTGAAGCTGCAGAGGCGCCGCGAGTCCGAGTGAGTGGCACCCCGCCCCGCCCCGGTCGGGCTCTCGTAGGCGCTGGCGCTCAGTAGGTCCGCTGTGGTAGGCCGGCAGAGGCGTGTGTGGCCCCGAGTGACGTGGGTGCCGCGTGTGTCCCTTCTCCGCGCCCCCTCCACCCCCCAGGTTCACAGCCAAGCGTGTGATTCTTTTTAAGGGACAGGCGCGAGGAACCCCATAGAAGCTTGACACGCAGAGGCCCTGGCAGGCCGAGGAAACGGACCCACGCCCTGAGCGCCCTGTCGCCCCCCCGCAAGAGAGGGAAGAGCCGCAACAGTAGCGGAAAGTAAGGCTGGCCCCTCGGTGGGTCGGGGACTGGCACAGAGCTCGGGGAGGAGCGCAGGGCCTGCGTCTGGGCGCTGGCACCTCAAGTCCCTTGGGCTCTGACCCACCGGTTTGGTAGCTCAGGGAGCATGGCGCGCGCTGCCCAGGCTAGGAGGCCGAGCCAGGCGAGTGGCGGAGCGGACAGGCAGACTCGTCCAGCCAGGACTGAGTGGGCGGTGACCCCAGTGAGATTTCTGGGCTGTCGCCCAAGTGCTTCAGCCGTCATCCGGCCCGTCATCCTTTCTTCCTCCACGGCCGAGGACTAATTCTCGCTCTTGTCCACACACCTCTTCCTTGTGGAGGGCCCGCTGAGCTCCCAGCCCCGTGGGACGGGCTCCAGCTCATGCCGTCACTTAGTTCCCTCCGAGCTGGACAGTATCCTTCCTGTCCGCCTGATCTGCTGGCTCGTTATGCCCGAGCCTGCACTCTGCGACCTAGGGTCACTTCCTTCGTGCACTGTGGGGCAAGCTCTGTGGGTGGCAGCAGAAGCTACGTGTGGCACCTCTGGAATTTTTCTTGAATGCTGGCTGGAATGAGGGCTTTTCCTCCAGGCCGGTGTGGTGGTCCCTGGGTGTGGGAGCAGCACGAGCTGGGTGAGGCCCATCAGAGGAAGGGGCTGGCTCGTCCCCTTGTTCGCAACATCAGGGCAGGTGACACTAGGTGGCCCAGTGCTTGGCTTGAGGAAGTAGAGGCGGCCACGGGGTGAGGCCGCGGGTTGGCCCCAGGTCTCCTCAGGAGAATACAGCCCCCAGGGCCCCGGCGTGTCTTGTACTCAGCATCTCTGGATGTTCCTGAGTGAGGATGGGGAGAGGAAGAAACCTCTCGACCAGCCGTGGCGGGGCAGGGGGAGAAAGCAGCTCCTAGGGAGCCGCAGAGGCTGGGGCTGGCGCCTGCAGGCCCCCTGGTTAGGAGTGTGGACCCTGGAGGTGGCTGTACTTCTGCTTTTGAGTTCTAGCTCCACTCCTGGTTGTGACCTCGGGCTGGGTATAGTACATCAAACAAAGCATGGTTCTGTGACTAAAATGTAAAGCACTAACGAGAAACAAGTCACATAAAGCACCAGGTAAAAGTTAGCTGCTTTTGTGATCACTTGCGAGGGTTTAGCTCAGAGCAGGCAAGAGAAGCCTTAAGTGAGGCCGCATTCCACACAGCTTATTTTTCCAGGGGTACAGGAGACCGGCCAGTGGCTCTTCCTTCACGTAAGGTCTTGATCTTAGTCCCCTACCCTGGAGGACTTGCTTGGCGTTTCCGACCCTTGTTTTTGGCACGCTTTGGTAGAGGGATCCGACCGTGCAGAGCCGTGTGAGTGTGTGTGAAGGAGCACGAGAGGGACAAGGCAGCAGCGGGTACTGCCTCGGAGAAGGCTTTTTTCTTCCCATTTAGCTCTCATTCTGCCTCATTCACAATTAGCCCAGAATCCCAGCACCATAAGTTCACAAGATTCATCTCCCCAGACTCGTCACTCTGTCATCGCTGTCTGTGCTTCCGCATCCAGAGCCCGCCCTTCAGGGCCACGAGGGCGTACCCCCAACTCTCGAATACTGCCTGGCCAGGGTGCTGACCAGTGGTGCCTCTGCTTTCAGGCTGAGCGGCAAGCCCCTGCTGACATCCGATGCCTACGAGCTGGGCGCAGGGATGAGGAAGAGACACAGGGGGTCCGAGGAGGAACACGATGCCCTCATTGGAACAGGGAAAGCCAGGGGGAGGAACCAGCCTTGGGACGAGCAGGAAGGCTCGTCGGACTTCATGAGTCAGGTCAGTATCCCCGTCTTGCTGGTTGGTGTGCTGCCGTCTGGGGTGGAAAGTCTGGAGGGTATGTGTCCCTCCCGCTGCAGGTCTGTTGGCCTCGTTGCTGCAGAGAAACTGTAGACATGGTCGTCACAGTGCAAGAGTGATTCCCCTCCAGTCTTCCGTATGGTACAGGGGGAAATTACGGCCCAGAGGAGGTCAGGGAGGTCAGAGACTTACCAAAGTAACACAGCCTCGGGTGGGCCTGAGAATCCCGCCCCCCCCCCACCCGTGTGCTCCATGACCCTTTGTCGAAGCCAAGAAAAAAGACTGCAAGTTCTTAACCAGATAATGCGATTACTGTATTGTTTAACGGTGTAATTGTTTAATGAGCAGCTTCACCAGTCTGTAGTTCTTTAAAAAACAAGGACCTGATGTCATTGTAATTTCCTCTGTGAATTCTCCAGGCGTAGTGGGGTGAGAGCCAACTCCTTGATTTTTCTTACTTCTGCAGAGCATTGAAATCATCCACTTAAGGCCCGCGTTTCTAAATACTAATGTACCTTGTCATCCGTCCTTGTAAAGCCTCGTGCGTGGGGGCTCTTTTGGTTGGTCTGGCCATCAGAGGGGGCCACTCACGTAAGGGAGGCTGGATCCAGGAAGAGGGAGGAGAGACAGTTTGTACATCAGGATCCTTAATACTCTCAAATTGTGAATGATGCTTTTTTGGTGGTTTAAATGACACTTTCCCATCTTTTTTCCTTACGAAACGTTACCCGAATAAAGAAAATAGAAATGAAATGTGCAGATGAGAGGCATTAATGCCTTTGAAAGTGCACATTTCACTGGAACAACAAATGACTGTAGCAGACGAGAGTGCAAGCAGGAATTTAATCTTTGAAATCGCTAATCGTTGTCTGCTTCAGGCATACAAGGCATGCTCCGAGGCATTTTCTTGGCAGCTCCTGCCCATGTAGTTGGATGGGCTGATTTAGGCTGTGTGGCAGTCTTCATCAGCTGCTCTAGGTAGTTGAGATAAGCAGATCAGCTGGGCTATGATCTGGGTATTCAATCTTGGTTCCCTTCCTCCTCCCTTAATCCAGCTGGCTTCTCCTGCTCATTGGCAGCACTGTTTGCTTAAAGTGCTTCCCCAGGAGGCACCAGATAGCACCGCGGAGAGCCAGAGTGGAAGTGCCAGCCCCAGTGACAACTGCAAGCACAGGAACAGCTATTTGCTAAATACTCCATGTGCTTTATCTCGGTTCATCTTCAGAGCAACCTTCTGATGACGCCCATACATAATTATCGCCATTTTACAGAGCGGGAGAATCAAGGCTTAGAGGAGTTAAACAATTTGTCAAAAGCCACTGAGGCAGGGAGATGGACGGGAGTTGTGGTTCGTCAGAGCTTGTGCACTGAGACCCACTATCCCGTTTGGTCAAGTGCGTCTTAACCTGTGATTTCCAACTTCCCCCTTCAGCTCAAGATTAAGAAAAAGAAGATGGCCAGCGACCAGGAGCAGCTGGCAAGTAAGCTGGACAAGGCCCTCTCCCTCACAAAGCAGGACAAGTTGAAGTCACCCTTCAAGTTCTCGGACAATTCTGGGGGGAAATCGAAAACGAGCGGGGGCTGTGGCAGGTACTTGACGCCTTATGACAGCCTGCTGGGCAAGGACCGAAAGGCACTGGCCAAAGGCCTCAGCCTGTCTCTGAAAGCCTCCCGAGAAGGTAAACACAAAAGGGCCGCCAAAGCCAGGAAGATGGACGTGGGCTTCAAGGCCAGAGGCCAGCCCAAGTCGGCCCACTCCCCGTTCGCCTCAGAAGTGAGCAGCTACTCCTACAGTAAGTAGCGGACGCCGCGCCGCCTCCAGGCCGCTGCTTCTCCCCTCTCTTCCTCTCCTCTCCTCTATCTCAAGGGTCCCTTTCTTCCTCAGCCCCGGCTCCAGGCCGGAAGTGGGTCCGCCTGGGGCGGAAGTGCCGGCCGGCGCCATGTTGGGCGGGCGGCCGTGATTGGCGGGCGCGGCCGGAAGCGCGCCGGCCGACTCCTGTGTCTTCCGCCGTTTGACGGAAAGCTGCGGCGCGGGCGCCCGGTGCCGGTTTTCGCGCGCGAGGACCGTGAGGACCGTGGAGGGGCTCCTGCGCCCCCTAACCCACCCCGCCCGCGGGGGCTTCTGCCCTCAGGCCGATGTCGGCGGGAGCGGCGCTCGGGCAGCATTTCGCTTTACCTTTGTGACAGCCCTCCGGGCGGCTGCCCGTTTTGTCCCCCGGGAGAGCTGCCGAGGCCGGGCGAGGTCGACTGCGCCGGATGGGGCAGTCGGGCCGGGATCAGGCCCGGCCTGTGTGGCTCAGCCGCCCAGGACGCCCACCACCATGGCCGTGGTCTCTGCGCCACCCAGGACGGGCATCGCTGGCCGCCTGTGGCTTTCGAGCCCTGGGAACACAGCTGGCGGGACCGAGACTGGGGTTTATTTCGTTAACGCGGGCCCGCCGCATCGGAGCTCCTTCCCTGGGGCCTGGGGGGCCGCTTTTCCCGAGCTAGGCAACCTTGGGTCAGCCCCGGCCGGCGCTCCGTGGCCTCGGGTGGCCTGGCTTCCACGGTGCGGCGCATCATAGGTGCTCAGTAAGTATTTGGGGGCAGAATATCTCATGCCCAGGATGGATGGACACTAAATATGTGGCCTTGCAGGAAGGCTGCGGGGGCTTCTTGGCTCTGGTACCTGTCAATGGAGTTTGTTCTGGAAGTCCCAGGCCTTGGTTGGGGTGGAGGGTTTTTTCGTTGTCGACTGCCTGGATCTGTGCGTCCGGGCTTCTGATCCGGCTGGTTTGTTGGGAGGAGGTGGAGTTTCCATGTCAAGTGCAAAAAAAGGACACGTTTGTTTTCTTAAGGAAGAAAAATAAAGTTTTTATAGACTTGGGAGTTAAGATCACCCACCTCACAGGGCTGACGTTGGTAAAAGGCTAGATGTGGCATCTTGCACGAGGTTAAGCTGCTGTTGTTTTTTTTTTTTTTAATGTATATTTGGTTGCCTAAGATTAGTAGGTCTCCAGGGCTGATTTTCAGATGAGTGTGGGGCAGACAGCTCCTTTGTGCTGAGGACATGCACAAATGCCATAGTTTCTGTGGTCCTTCAGCTTGGATGGGTTGATCTGAACAGCACTGCCCAGGCCCCTGGCCACTGTGGGCCTAAGCAGTAGAGAGCTCCACTCTCAGAGATTCGTAACTCCGGAGGAGGAGGAAAGGGCTTTCTCCTGCTCTGTCTCTGTCCTGTTTGAAGGAGACGAGGGGTGGCCAATGGATGTGTCCCGGCTGGTTGCTGGAAGACTCCCTCACGTTCCCCACTTCCAGGTGGATGTGGATGGGGTATCTAGAGGCCAGAAGTAAGCCAGGCCCCTGAGGTCTTCGGTGTGCTCCGAGTGGTGAGTCCACCACTGTAGCACATGTGTGCTCGTGAGCAAAGCCAGGTTCAAGGTGCCGGTCTAACTCTGTTATGCTCTCGTCTAAAGCACCACAGTTCAGGTGAGGAAAATGGGTTCACATTGCAACAGAGAGGTCAGAGGCTGTCTCTAGGTGCTAGCTGTGAAGAGAGGTCCTCTCTTATTTCTTACGTTGGCTTTCCGGCAGTTCTAGGTAAATGAGTGTGTGCAGTCGCAGAGAGGTCAGAGGTGTTCTCCAGCAGGGTGTTGCCGTACTAGCAGAGAGTGGGAAGTGAGAACACTGTCTTCTTGCTTTTTAAGTTTGGGTCGAAGGGGTTGGGTGGCATGCCTGGTGGGGCTGCCCTTCTACCCAGAATTGCCAGGCCATCCTGCAGTTGGGTTCTCGGTGGGAGTGGAAAGCGGAGATGTTGGAGGAGGCAGCCAGAGGACCCCCCACCCGCCCGCCCCGCCCCACACGCACATGTAGTTTCTCTTGGACTTGGAGACAGTGGGCATTGTCAGAGCTGTGGCCACGTTCTTTAATGCCCCTCGTGTTCCACGTGGATTTTACCAGATCGGGGGGTTGCAGTCTTCGGTTGTGGAGCCCTTTCGTGTAGTGAAATGTTGCTGGTGATCTCCACATGTAAAGCGGATCCAAACGATGTATATTTGGGGTGGGCGGGAAGAGGTCAGAGTTGTGCCAACTTGACAGTCCCCCTCCCCAAAGCTGGGCAGTCCTCGATCCTCCCCCAGGAAAGCTTGAGAGCCGTGGCCTCACCCGGGTAGTGAGGCCGAGACTTGGGTGGGAAGCATGCTGGCCCCCCTGCTCTCTGATAGGAGAACACGAAGGTGGGGGAGCCCCCGGTCCCGACATCTCTGCCAGCTTCCTTGGTGCAACTCCGCTGCTGTGGTCTTTCTAAGCTGCGTGTGTGACGTAGCTGAGTGTGGGCTTGGGAGGAGGTGCGCACACTTGGGTCTGCGCCTGCCGGCTCAGCATACTCCTGGGAGCTAGTATTTTGGAGAGAAGAGCTTCACCTGAGCTCTTCCCCTTGGGACGAGGAACCCCTGGGCCAGGGTGCAGTCCTGTGGGACAGACGGGGCCCAGTGGTGACCTGCATGACCAGGGGAGAGAGCTTCCTGGGAGCAGGGATCCCAGCCACCCCAGGGCCTGGAAGGGCTGTTTGCCGAGGTGACGGTGTGGTGGGCGATGCTGGCAGCGGCCGGCTGGGACGGGGCCGGGTCCAAGGCCAGGAAGGAGGAGCCAGGTGCAGGCTGTGTCCTGCAGGCCGCCAGGTAAGAAGAGGTCAGAGGCCGGGCCTGGAGGATGAGGTGTGACACAGCTTGCTCACGGCCACAGGCATTTGGAGCTATCCGTTCTGGCACGTACCCGGGTGTTGTCACAACCACTAAGTAACGGAAGACAGACACCAGCCCCCGCCCGCTCTGTGACTTAACGCTGTTAACAACTTTGACCGCAGATACGGACTCGGAGGAGGACTTCCTGAAGGACGAGTGGTCCGCCCAAGGCCCCTCCGGCTCCAGACTGGCGTCTCCCGTCCTGTGTGGCATGGTGGCAAAGAGCAGCAAGCCGGCCGGGGGCCCCAAGCTGACCAAGAGGGGTCTGGCGGCTGCCCGGACTCTGAAACCCAAGCCGGCCGCCGGCGGGAAGCAGCCATTTTGTTTGCTGCTTCAAGAGGTCGAGGCGCGTTCCTCCTTCAGCGACTCTTCGGACGACTCGTTTGACCAAGGTTACTAGCTCCACACACACACTACCTTCCAGGTTTCAGAGCGAGAGAGTGAGTGAGCGCGAGCGATGGCGCCGCGGGCGGCCGTCTGGGTTCTGGCAGCGTAGCCTGCCGTATCTGCCCCTTTTTTTGGGTTCCGTTTGTACCTGTATCGTGATAATACCGCGGCCAGCTCTTTTGGAGCTTTTATACAGACTGATTTTAGTCTCCACCTGCCCCCACCGCCCCCTCCGCCCCCACCCCTCTTCTCGCAGCCTCTGCCCCCCAGACCGCAGGCCGGGGTGGGGGTCTCGGCAGGGGCCTCCCGAGGGACGTTTTGTAAATGGAATTCTGTCGTGTGGGCGTGTGACTTGATGTTTGTACCGCGATTTTGGTAATACCAAGCTTTATTAAACAGACCGAGTTCATTTTTAACTAAACCCGTGTGCCTTGTCTCTCTTGCTGTGTCTGACTAGACCATCAGGTGGCCGCTTCC